TAAGAAAAATTACTTCTTTTCCTTTTTGGATCAATAATGATACAAATAGAAAATATGTTTCTGGGCTGGGGGTGGGGGCTCGGCGCAGAGTGCTTGCTTATGAGTACAAAGCTCCAAATTCAATCCCCAGGCCTAGAATAAATCATCCTTAACGCAAAGCCATGTTCAAGAATGCTGCAGAAACCCAGCATGCTCTCTAGACACCATCATTCTGTAGCTTCACCATCCAGGGTCACTGAGGAGATGCTGAGGTGACCGTGGACAGGAACTCCTTGAAGCTAGGCTTCTTCCTTTCTTAGGGAGAGTTGTCAAGCTTCCCTGAGGCAGCCACCCATAGAGCCGGGGTAACATCCTGTGTCAGCTTAACTGTACCAGGGGATACTGCAGGCCGGCAGGCTTAGGACCACAAAGGCCTCCGGCCTCCTTCAGCATGTCTAGCTCCCAGACCATTCCTGGCATTTCAGATGAAATGAACCCCAAGTGCTGGTGCTTAGGAAAGAGGAAGGGCATCCATGCTCCCTGCAGGGAGCTCAGCTTGGCTAAGCCACTCTGAGTTCAAAAGTGGGAAGGGGAACCGGGGCGTACAGTGAGTCTGTCCCTCAGGTCTGCCTGGACCTTGCATTTGTTACCCCACAGTCCTGGGTAAGGGCAGGAATTAACCTGCATCTCGGAGCTGAGGAAAGGGAGTTTGGTGAGGGAAAGGACATCTGGCCCTATCGGCCAGCCATGCAGACACCGAGGACCTGTCTGACCCCAATGTCCCTCTGTCTGCCTCCCACCTCCAGACCCGCCAGCTATTCGTGACCTTTCCTCCTCCGTAGCTCTTTGTTCCTGGTCACAGACTCACGAACATGTAGGAAAAATGTTGACAGGGGAAAGCTCGTGTTGTTGGCTCGTGGCAATTGAGCCTGTGTTCCCAGGCAGCAGGCATATGACTCATTTCGCTAAAATCAATATCGTTACACTCATCCTCTGGGAAGGATTCAGCCAGCTGTAAATTTAACCATCCCAGCTCAAAGTTAACGAGGAAAGAACCTTGCTAACTTCCAAATCAACCTCCGTGTATCAGGAGCAGGGGCCATGTTGGCAAGTGGGCAGAGACCTGGCATGGTGCCGGCTGAGGGCCAGGTAGGCCTTGTCTGCACGCCCACCAGCAGGGCTCTGCACTCGCCAGCAGTGCAGCTCAGAGCCTGGCATCCTTCCTGTAAAACAGGCTCAAAACTGCCCTTCAGAGGCGGCTGTGGGAAAAGACACAGTGCAAGCAGGAGCAAGTCCCAGACCAGACAGCCAGTGGGGACACACGAATGGTGGCTGCAGGAGGCTGGCAGCTGCCATCATGCTTTTCCTTCCAAGCCCAGCCACTTTCAATTATCTATCTGGACAAAACTGAATTTCTTAAAATTAGGGGGTGGGGAGTTAGCTTGCAAACCAGCTGTGTTTGGCTGTAAACAGCTTTGTTGAAACACATAAGCCACCATGCCAACACCAAACATGACCTGACCATGTTCAGCTCTGGGACCAGTCAACAAAGGCGGCCTAACCTAAGAAGAGCCAGTTGCCTATTGATGGCTGCAGCCTACACACAGGAGAAACACGGGTACAGTGAGCCTGTTTCAATTAAAAAATCCTGCCAGGGCCTGGGGGTCCCCTATTTCATAAGGACGGCTGGCATGAGTATCCTAGCTAAGGATGAGACAGGTTTATGAAGATGCAGAAATCCTCCCCAGAGGGTAGCCAGGAAAAGAAAGCTTAGTTTCCAGGAGCGGGTGAGGGTTGCAGATGACAGACACATACAGAAGGGGGTTAGAGGAAGGGTCTTTGACATGGGAAACTTGTTCACTGGGCAAGGGGATACCTGAAGGACAGTGGCCAGGAACTATCATCAGCTCACACCCTGCTAGACCTAGCAGAAATAAACAGACAAAAAAAAAAAAAAAAAAAAAAAAAAGCCAGTCTGAAAGCAGGCCTAGCCTCTGAGGCCTGCAACTCAGCCAGCATGCACTGTTTCCTTTATGGTCTCCAGGGACACTAAGGGACCCTAAGCAGGTCCTCCTGGAGTATGCTGGAAGAACCCAGCGTGCCACAGAGCTTGAGAAGCTAGAGACCCTGGCTGTAACATAGCACTTGCTTCAAGCACCAGTGGGAGCTAGTGCCACTTCAGAGGCTTAGCGTGACACAGAGCCTTCCTCCACGGCCTCTCCTCCAAAGCCTCATGAGCCGACAGTGCTCTTCGCCACAGCCTTCATTTGAACACTTTTCACTCTTCCTGAGCCAAGTGCTTTGCAGCTGTCAGGGTGGCCGCTGTTCCTGCTGGAGCATAGCTGTCCACAGCTCAAGAAGCATCCTTCAGCCACTCACGTAATCAGAGGGGTCAGTCAAGATCATTCTGGCGCTCCATCCTCCCAAGGCCTGTTTTCTGCAGGTGTCAAGCCACTGTCTGGAGATAGCCAAGAGCCCTGCCAGAAGTCAGGCCAAGATAGTTTGTCCAGGGAAGGGAGGGGTGTGGCAAAAGCATACCATTTCATGCACTGGCAGGACAGACACCTTTGTCAGTCCCATAAACCCAACCTATATCCAGCTGTCCCCAATGGTTGGGTGACCTCAAGAAAGTCACCAAACACTCAAAGCCTCCGTTTCTGCATCAAAGGAATAGGGATAAAGATACTATCCTCCCAGACCAGTGGGAGACTAAGCATGTCACCTAAGCAAAGGGCCTAAGCCATTTATCTGTATCAGGTCGCTACAGGCCTAGTGGCATGTGGGACACCAGAGCCACAGCAAGGACTTGGACAGCAGACCACCCTCTTCCTTTGTGACATTGGCCCTAGTCACGATGGGCCTGAAAACAATTCTTGGAAAAGGAGTAGGGTACAGTTCCACCCGACCAATCCTTCTACCCACCATGACCCCAACAAGAGACACAGGGGCATGGAGACACAAGGAGGTAGTCAGGACAGTGGGCATCCCAGAGAGAAGGGCAGATGTCCCTGGCCATGACTTCCTGGAGCTCTGAACTGTGGGGTCTACACACCTACCTCAGACCCCAGAGAGAAGGCACATGTCATCCTACTGCCAACCCACCACTAGGGAGAAGTGCAACTGAGGGGCTGAAATCTGCAAGGGGCGGGCGCCCTCAGAGCTGAGGAAGCTCCCAGGGGACTCGAAGGGTAGGACTAGCTGATTGGTATGCAGGACAGGTCATGCACAAAGCCAGTGACACTCAGGGTCTGGGTGGTGTCTGCCAGTGTTCCCTAAGGCCGCCTGTGCCTAATGTAGCAGAGACGTTCGTTAGGGAGATTGCAGACGGAAACAGGAGCGCCAAAAATAATTAATCTGTGAGCAGATTTGATTAAGTGTTGATTCATGGCTGTTCCGTAAGCCAACAGCCCGTCATAACTATAAATTAACGAGATAAAATGGTACTGGCCCTCCATATTTCAGGCCGGGTATTGACATTTTAGAATCCACAGATTTTTAACTGTATTGATTGAGGACACCAGGATAAATGGCCTTGGCGCCAAATTCCCATTAATGACAATGGGCACCAAGTGACTAATTCCCAAAACACTGCAGAAAGAACGCCTTGCGCTGCCTTCTCCTGGCAGGGCGCTCTAATTAGACTGAAATGAAAAAGCCAAATGACCATGGGCGGGAGAGGCAGAGAAAGGAAACGGAAGATCAGACTTGGGGAAGAGAAAGGACAAGACTAGTCAGAGCTGGACGAAGGTCATGGCGTGCTCACAGGCTAAGAGAGTGTGCCCAGCAAGACAAGGGGCCAGAGACGGGTATGCAGACATAAGGGTGCCCACCCTGGCAACCTTGGGAGCTTCCTTATTCAGGATAGGAGGATCCAGCAGAGGCCAGCCTCGGCTGTCCAAATATGCAGATGTGAGCCAGCCCAGTCCAAAAAATGGACAAAGGGACCACCAAGGTGGGTGCCTCCTTGGGGACACACACTTTCCAGGATGCAGCTATCCCCACGGGAAAGGCTCATCCCGGGCTGGAGGCCTTCCTTGAGGCTGAGCTCCAAAGCCATCAACTCTGTCTTCTCTGGGTACAAAAGACATCCAGCATACCCCAGCACGGGTCTTATACACGGTAGGTACATAATAAGTAACAAACTAATAGAGTGAAAACAACCCTTCAGCAGAGGAGTCCCATGCAGACACCATTTCCAGGAGAGCAGAATGAAGTGCCTTCCATCGCTCCCTAACGGACAGCAGCTCTCAGAGGTGGGGCCATGCCTCTTACCTACCCTGCACACTTGGAGCCCTGCCAGCATCTGCCCTCACCTGAAAGGACAGCGCTTCCTCTCCCCTCCGCTGAGCTACATGCCACGTGATACCAGCAGCAGTTCCAGACCCTCCTAGCTGTAACACAAAGAGACCATGCTCCACAGCTGTCCCAGGCTTGCCATCAGTCATCTGAGTCCCTAACTTGTCAGGCATCAGGGCCCTCTCTCACCTAGAAAATGGTACCCGTTGCTGCTGACAGCCAGAAGGAGATTTCCAACTGCCTTCCCTACCTGATGGAGGGCTCCTGAGGATATACCTACATGAATCTCCCTTCACTCCACCACCACTCATTCCCTCTCAATACAAACTGGGAAGGGCCCCTCTGAAGATTATGGAACTTAGTTCCACTGCTCAGACTGACAGGAATTCTAAACCGATGCCAACCAAAGGACACCGTGATATTTTGGTCCCAATTACCCAGCAGAAGTTGATTAAAAAGCTGCCTCGTTATCTGGCCCTGCAGCCTGGTGCTGAAACAACCTTGGCTCTGTCCTTTGCTGACCGGCAGAAGACTGGTTCCAGTGCCATGAAGACAGCTGTGATGCCACTGGCAAATGATCTGCACGGCCATCAGGGAAATGAGTCTGTCCTGAAGCCCCTGCCACATCATCACCATGGCTAGCTTGCAGTCAGGACCCTCTGGAGAGGCTTCCCCAGTGAGAGGGCTGCCAGTTGACCTGGGCCAGTTGGGACATAAGGACACACCTGTTTCCAGATCTGTTAGGTGCAGGGCAAAGTCGAAACCACCACTGAGGATGCGCCGGCCACAGGGAGACCACCGAGCAGCCCTTACCGCCTCACTGTGCACAGAGTAGGTCTGCAGGCAGTGTCCCGAGTCCACGGCATTCCACACCTGCAAGGGAAACACAAACAGGCAGCACCAGACACTGTGATGAAGGCCTGAGCTCCAGGTCAGCAGGGGACTCCCGGGAAACTGGGTTCCTATTAACTTACATCAAAATAGCAGCTAGAAGCGCTTTTCCTCATAGAAATGCACAGGTGTCCTTTTTCTGGGCCTAAGGAAACAGCATTTCCTGTCTTCACCCAACCTTCACATGTGCTCCTACCTACTGAGCACAGGCATGTCACAGTCCTGCCCATGTCTTATAGCCTGCTACCTGTCCTGGGGCAGACAGAGCACATGCTCAGGCTACAGGCAAGGGAGCTCTTTACAACTGAGACCCAGACTCAGGGGCTGGGCCATTGTGCTTCTTCTTCTTAGGAGAGAGGTACCCCCCTCCCCTTCATCCTGGCTCTCTGTGAAGAAGTGGGGTTTCCCCAGAGCATGTCCAGCTGACTCCTATACATGGTTTAAGAGCCCAGGCAGGAGAGATGTATCACTACAGCTGACAGGCCTGGTAGAGGGGCTCAGAGCTGGTCCTGCTCACTGTCAGGGCAGGTGGAGGGGCAGGCTGTAAGCGCCTCTCCTTGACACTGTATCTTGCTGGTCTCGGTCTCCTCTCCATGAATGGGAGATAAAGGCACCACCCGAGATGGGAGTGAGGCTGGGGGAGGGGGGAGGTAGGGGGGGAGGGTTGCAGCACACACAGCAGTGGGGCATGTTGGCTGTAAGATTCGCCGGCACCAAGAAACCATGCTTCATTTTCCTTAGTGAGAGAAAAGCTCAAACAAGCAGCACAGTCATTTCCACAGACCTGCTCCCAGTGAAGGGCGCTAACTCTACCTGCCAGGGCCCAAAGTCTCTCAAAATGCAGCTAGGGTTCTGAGAGATTTCCTGTAACTATGTAAATGTCTAAGCTTAAGCAAACAAGAGGTCATAGAAGCCTTCACAGATGTGGGGAGGGACCCCTGCTCCTTTCTTTTATATCAGAGGTCAATAGCTCGGTCTCAAATTGAAAAGAATAAAACCAAGCAGGAGCAGTAGTTATGTCAAAAGCACACACTGGGAGTCAGAGTCAAAGACAGGCGGATCACCAGGAGTTTGAAGCCAGCCTGGTCCAAGACAGCCAGGACTACACAGAGAAACCCTGTCTGGAAAACAACAAAAACAACAAAATAAACAAACAAACACAGAAATAACAGGAGGAGCAGCCAGAAGATTGGTGAGTGGAGCAAGGATTCGTGGCAGGGCAACGGGGTGCACAGAAAGTGGCTGCTTCTTCAGAATCACGTACAAGTATGATGTTTTGTTTTGTTTTTAAGATTTATTTATTTGTTTATTTATTATACAGTATTCTGTCTGCATGTGTGCCAGCAGGTCAGAAGAGAGCATCGGAGCTCATTATATATGGTTGTGAGCCACCATGTGGTTGCTGGGAATTGAACTCAGGACCTTTGGGAGAACAGCCAGTGCTCTTAACCTCTGAGCCATCATCTCTCCAGCCTACAAGTATGATGTTAATAGCAAAATTCACCAAGCAAGTGAAATTCTTCAGTTTCACATGGTTAGACAGTAAGAGGCCAACCCCGAGGATATAGGACAAACCACATTTACAAAGTATGTCATTTTCTAAGAAGCATGAACTACAGCATCATGTTAATTAGGCTGGCTGGTATAAAAAAACAAAAAACAAAAAAACAAAACAAACAAAAAAAAAAAACCAAAGATAACAAGTGTTGACATGGTGCAGAGAAATCAGAACCCCCTACACTGCTGGTAGGAAGGTGAGCTAAGGCATCTATGATAGACTGCAGCTTGGGGCTTCTCAGGAAGCTGTGGGGTTACCCCACAACCTAGCACCCCCACTTCTGAGAATAAATCCCAACATCTGGTCCTGCGGGCTCAATGAAGTTGTGCCTTTATTCATGCGGACAGAAGGTGGAAGGAAACCACTGCCCACAGACAGGTGAGAGAGCAAACAAAACGCAGGCCATGCACACAGCAGCATGCCTCTTACATAGTGCCCCCCAACAGCTGCTGCAGCCTGGAGCAGCCTCGATGACACTGTCCTCAGTAGGACAGGCTGGACGCAAAAGGATGAATTCTGTACAGTTTCCCTTCATGGTGTTCCCCGAGTAGTCAGAACCCCAGGCAGGAAACAGAAAGGCCGCTGCCAGGAGCTGGGGAGCAGCGTGCGGGTGAAGTAAGAGAGGAGGGTGAGTACAGGCAAGGGCGCCCGGCAGCACAGACTAGACACCTAACCCTGACTACAGTGCTCAAGTTTGTGATATTTCACCATGGGTTGGGTTGTTTTTTGTTTTTGTTTTTTTGTTTTTTGTTTGTTTGTTTGTTTGTTTGTTAGTTTTCAAGACTGGGTTTCTCTGTGTAGCCTTGGTTGTCTTAGAACTAACTCTGTAGACCAGGCTGGCCCCAAACTCACAGAGATCCTCCTGCCTCTACCTCCTGAGTCCTGGGGTTAAAGGCGTGAGCCACCACCAAGCCACCATGTTTTTTATTTGTTTGCTGTTGTTATGGTATGTGCACGCACACACACAAACACATACACACAAAACGTTATCTTGTTCATTTATGAATTTGCAGACCCTAAAAACAAGCTCAGTATGGCTGTCACTTCTAGGACTCCCAGGAGCTGTGAACATGGCTCAGTATTTCCTTTGAGAGGTTGAGTGCAGGTGGGAGGAGCAGATGGGAAGGAAGAGGCAGCTCTGAAGCAATGGTGTCCAAATGTTTTCCCATATAAAACTTTTTCACTTATTCATTCAACAAACATCCCTAACTGCTTGCTAGCTAGCCAGGCACTGTTGACAGGGGCACAGCCAGAATCAAAACTCTTGCTTTCCAAGAGCTAACTGTCAGGAAGATAGGTCCTACACAACCACCAGAATAGAGTGTACCAGGCACCAAGACTGATGTTCCAAAGTCAGCAAAGGAAGGGTCAAGAAAAGGAGTTGAGGGAGTGGTCATGTTAGGCCACTCGAAGGACTGAAGGGTGACAGAAGATTTCTGCCAGAGCATGCAACAGCACGAAGGCCAGTCTGGCCAGATAGGTGAGCAGGATGTGGTCAGAGAGTGTCTCTATGGGCAGTAGAGTACCCAGGGCCTCCTGAGGAGGTGCCCAAGGCTTCCTGGCTCCAGCCTACAGGACCCCGTTAGCTGCCCCACAGGAAGAAGATACAGGGAGACAGAGTGGGGCTTAGGCAGAAATTTGGGACAGAGGCGGCAGCAGTGCAGAGGGTCCATATAGGAGTCCGAAGTTCATGGAGTAAAGAGGCCAGAGAGACCAGGACACCTTAGGTCTGGGGCCTGAGCATGAAGGGGGATGGCCAGCTCTGGAAGCAAGCTAGATGGCAAGGCTAGAGCTCAGCACTGCATGAAGGAAATGAGAGGGGAAGCCAGGCAAGTCCCTGCCCTTAGAATTATAGAAGGTCTGAGTATAAGCCAGGCCTACTTCTAAACCTTTCATCATGTGCAGTAAGATGTTGGGTTAGTGAGAAGGGAGAAGTAAAAGGAGAGGGTAGAAAAGATGAAAGAGAGAAGGCAGGGAAGGATGAGGGACAGATAGAGAAAGCAGGGAACGTGGGAGGGGTGAAAGGAAAAAGGTAGAAGAAAGCTCAGACTCCATGGTGCCTGGATCAAAAGGGCAGCACAAAGTGCTTCTTGGGCAGTGATGTCTAATGGGCCTGGGTTTAAGGAGATACACAGCTGGGTCTAAGGTGTGACAGCCCCTGGGAACACAGCTGCACACCTGTGTGATGACGCACTGCTGACAGCAGGAACAGAATCCATAAGGACCAGTCAGTCCCAGCATGTTACTGAGGGCGAGGGCGAGAGAATCTTTGCCAATTGCTCTCCCTAATTGAATTGAATGTTCACTGTCAGGCTTTAAAGATTAATTCCCAAACACTGCCGCAGCCCAGAGTGTCTGCCTTTTTTCAACCAAGTAATTAGAGATCCCAAACTGCCTTCCTGGAATTAAGGAGCTCAGTCTCCTGTTGAATGTTCTGAGATGACTCCATGTATTAACTACAATTATTAACACTGTTTGTGTGTCCAGCCGAAGTCACAGATTTGACAAGAACATGATGAGTAAAATGCAGTACAGTTGGGTGTCTTCATCCTGGGTCCCGCCACAGCCATAACAGCTTTTTGGGCTCTCCAAAGACTATCCAGCCTGCTGCTTCAGCCTCAGGCCACACTCCTGGTTGCCTTTTGGCTTGAGTTTTGTTTTTATTTTATTTAACTTATCATCATTATTGCGAGGGGACATGAGCATGCCCGCAAATGTGTGGAGGCCAGAGGACAACTTTGAGGATACAATTGTCTCGTTCCAACAAGGATTCCAGGGACCAAACTCAAGTGGCTGGACTTGGGCATTAAGTGCCTTTACCCACTGAGCCAGTTAGTTCATAGGCCCCATTCCTTGTGTTAAGAGAAATGGAATCCCCTTAGAAAGTATTCAAACTCTAAAAAAAGTGTAAAAAAAAAAAAAAAGAAAAGAAAAGAAAGGAAAGTCCTCTAGGAATCACTGTGGGGTTGTTTCTCCAGTTACATGGGAAATAAGCATGTTCTACCATAATGTATTTATCAAAGACAGAAAAAAAAAATCAGGTAAAAATGGCCCATATCTCCACATGGAGACGATGATTGTCACATTTTTGGGGGTGGCTGTGCTTGCTGTGAGATCCAGCTTCGGTAGCTGCTCCTGCCTCATCAGCTCCTGTTGCTCCAGACTACTCCCAAACTCACAGGTCCATGGGAACCCACACAGCTAGTGTCTTCCTTTGCCAAGGGCTCAGAACCAGCCCAACTGTCCACAGGAGCCAGGGGAAGCCTTCGTGGGATGTTTCAAGCTCAGACCTGCGTTAGTCACAGCCTGCTTTGGAGATAAACTTTAGCAGTGCTGGCTGTGCTGCCCATGGGCAAGACACAGTAACAAATCTAGATCCATGGCATCTTTAAGCATTAGCACGAAGCTTTTACATGTCATTTGT